GCCGCCGCCGCCGCCGCCGCCGCAGCCAACGCCGCCTCTGCTGTCGCCCGCAGCTCTAATCCCCACAGGGCCCGGCGGGGATTCCACAATGGCCACGAGCTCTTCTCCGAGGCGTTCGGCCTCTTGGTCGCTCTCTTCCTCCGCCATGAGGCTCTCGCCGCCCAGCGCGTACCAGCCCCTACGCCGCCGCCGCCGCTGTAGCTGCCTCGGCTAACCTCCTCCTCCTCTAGTTCCCTCCCCTTTCCCTCCGCCCCTGCCGGACAGGGCCTCTCGGCTAGGCTTTACTTCCGGCTCCGCCCACCCACGCCCCCCGTTTTTATTGGGAAACTCTAGCCGCCAATCATGTTTATGCCCTCCCTTCCACTACTATTGGTTAAGTAAGCCGTCTGCTTGATAGACCGGCCGTCTGTTGGTCAATGCTGCTCGGCGGTTGCTGGGGACCGCCTACTGGCTATGCCATAGGCGGTACAGGAGGACGGGGCGCGGCGGGGGACACGGCGGCCGCCGCGGGGCTCGATCGGGCGGCGACGGCTACGGCGGCAGCGAAGGATTCTCCTCCTTCCTCACCCCCTCGCTCCTCCTTTTCTTCCTCTTCCTTTTCTTTCCGGCCGGGTCTCGTCCACTTCCCCTAACGGCGGCCTCGATCCTACGGTACCAAGGAGCTAGGGAGGCCGAGGGTGGGCCCGGGGCCTTCCGTCCCGAAACGGGAACCGAAGGCGGGGCCGGGGCGCCGTTGTCGGCGGGAGGAAGAGGGAGGAGACGGGAAGCCTGACAGCGGCCGCCTCCGCCAGGCGGCTGCCGCCTCCTCCCTTAAGACTGCCGCCAACTCGACTGTCGAGTTCACGGGCCCACGGCCGGCAGCTGGGACGCGGCCCTGCCCAGCTAGCGGGTTGGGGCGGTGGGGCGCCGGCGTGCTGGGTTTGGCGCGAGAGGACGGAGTCTAGACGCCAGGAACGTCTCGCGCCCCGCCTCTCTTCCACCCCCGCCCGAACCCTGTGTCCTGGGGAGCGCGAGGAGGTGCAAAGCGGAGCAAACTAGAAGGAACTGGGGTGGGAAGTGGTGGGGTAAACGTTGGAATAGGGTTTGTGATGTGGAATTAACCCAAAAAGCGATTTTAGAGACACCTGCGTGATGGCTGTTGACGTTCTTGTTAATGTTTTCATCCACCCTGCTTTCCCTCCCCCTTTCTCATTTTTTCTTCTCATTTGTCTTCGTGTTTTACAGTAAAGGCATGACTTCTCGTCATCGCAGGGAAAATAGGGTGCAAGCCCAGAAACCATTTCCCCATCACCACTTCTTGAAAAACTGATTTGAAGGCATCTCCAGGGTCGAACAACCGGAAAGTGCCAGGATTTGTTACGTCTCTGGCTTTGCGCTGGAGACCTTTTACTAAGTATCAAGACGAAAAAAACTGGAAACTTATCCGGTAAACATTAAAACTTGAAAACTTCTGATGAGCTTAGTTTGATCTAGTAAATGATTTGCTGTTTCTTATTTGTTGGCTAATTACTGTTGTTAATTTTTTAACTTCCTTCTTTGTTTAAAATATCTTCTGTTGAAAAGACTTGTTCTTCGGGTATGTAAACTCTAGCCTCCTCTACTGGGTGGATATATTTGCCTCTGCAGTAACAGACTTTTGAAAGTTACAAGACATTGAAAAGTATAGGCCTTTCTCATTAGCACGGGTGATTGAGCATTTTATGCTACAAGAATATGCATAGAATTACGTATTATGTGCAAAGAATTACGTACTTATTGTTTTAGTGTTTGAAATCCAAATATTTAAAATAGAAGACTTTTCACATAGAAAGTAAGATTTAGGCATTACTGGGCACAAAAATTTAATGTTTTTCATAACTAGCTTAGAACCGTTAATCATAATCAGTACTGATTTTTTTCTAGGAGTAGAAAACACATACATTAACTTAAAGTACAAAAGTGTGATGATAATTGACTAAGTACTAATCAGTAATCATATCTGTCTTCTCTACCATTGCAAATGTATATTCTAACACAATATTTGGCAAATGAGAGCCATGCACTAAAAAAATTTTAATGGAAAAAATATAATTAAATTTATTAAAACTTATACTTCGTCATACTTGCTAGAATTTCTGTGAAATGTTCAGTCTTCTGGGTTGGGCCCTTGAGGATCTAACACATTGACAATTTAAGGATTTTTGAAAGAGATTTCATGTTACCCAGCTATTCTCTAGGGTAATGAATGGAATACTCCGTTGTTTTTGATTACACTTATAAGGCATAATTCTTTAGAGCACACTTAGGAATCTTTCTGTAACATATTTATACAGAACAGAATTTCATTTTGAATTCTGTCAAGTTTATTTTAATTTCTTAAATTTTTGTTGTAAGAGCTTAGCTAAAAGGCACAGCCCCAGAGAATAATTAAGACTTAATGATCATTTGTCACTGACCAAAGTATATTCATTATCTTAAGTTTTCAATGCCCATATGTTATGATTTGGGCACTTAGTCCAATGATCATAAAGGTTTGTTATAGGATAATTTGAGAAATTATTAAGCTATTTCTAAAATAAATAGTTGGACAAATAGTGAAAATGCTCATTTACTTTTTTCATCAAGTTTTGATTGAGCACCTGTCATATACTGGGCATTATGTTAAGTTTCAGATTTTGTTCAAACTTGTAATAAATATTATGAAATTAATTATTCATGTTTAATGGAAAAAGGAAACCAAAAACTATTAGAGATAAATAAAGCAATTTGCGTATCTCGATTATCACCTTTTGGAAAACTAAGGAGAGGTTGTATACATTTAAAAATAACTTACTTTGAACTTTGTATTTTGGCTTTAAAATTTAATGTCATTGTTGCTGTTTATTGTATTTGATTTATGTTCTTTTTTAGTTTTTTTTTTCCTCTGCCAAACAATTTTGGATACTATATCTCTCTTCATATAAAATTGTGCTAGTTTAGAAGGCCGCCTGTTTGAACAAACTTTGTATAGTTTTGTTCCTACAGTTGGTTGCCCCAGAATTGAGAAGGGAAAGAAGCTCTAAAATACATGTCTAAATTGGATGAGATTAATATAATTAATTCTCTAAATGTTGCCTGTGATTAGGTTTTCCTAAAAGGTGGTGACATCTGGGATAGTTTAAGTTCTTTCTTCATAGATCTAATTTATCTGAATTTCATAAAAGTCATGGAATGGACCTAGTTGTTACTAGTACCTTGCTCTAGTTTTGCCTTCCCTTACATGTTTCAGGTAAGTTAAGATTTAATGGACACACAGTCTACTAATTTGAATTAAATTTCTTAAAGTCTTTAATCTTAAACTGTTTATACCCTGACTTTATTGTTGATTATTTTCAGGATGAACTGTTGTTGTAACACTTACTTTGTTTCTCTTGTCTTGAAAGAACCTTATTCAAAGTCAGAATGGAACGATTTGTAGTAACAGCACCACCTGCTCGAAACCGTTCCAAGACTGCTTTGTATGTGACTCCCCTGGATCGAGTCACTGAGTTTGGAGGTGAGCTTCATGAAGATGGAGGAAAACTCTTCTGCACTTCTTGCAATGTGGTTCTGAATCATGTTCGCAAGTCTGCCATTAGTGACCACCTCAAGTCAAAGACTCATACCAAGAGGAAGGCAGAATTTGAAGAGCAGAATGTGAGAAAGAAGCAGAGGCCCCTTACTGCATCTCTTCAGTGCAACAGTACTGCACAAACAGAGAAAGTCAGTGTTATCCAGGACTTTGTGAAAATGTGCCTGGAAGCCAACATCCCACTTGAGAAGGCTGATCACCCAGCAGTCCGTGCTTTCCTGTCTCGCCATGTGAAGAATGGAGGCTCCATACCTAAGTCAGACCAGCTGCGGAGAGCATATCTGCCTGATGGATATGAAAATGAGAATCAACTCCTCAACTCTCAAGATTGTTGACAAGGAGGTTACCACCATTGTGATCAAGATAAATAATGTGGAGTATTAAAGTTCTGTGTTGATTGTGTGGTTCATTTTTATATTTATTTCATTTAAAATCATGTGATGCAGAATAGTTTTGCAATGTGTATATAGTTGCAGACAAAAAAAAAAAAAACCTCACTGCAAAACTTATTGTTAATTTTAGTCACCAATGGTATAAAGCAAAATTTAAGTTTAAAGTATGCTAGGATACTTGAAACCTAATGGTTATCTTTAAAATTGATGGTTTTTCTCCTGAAATGTTTGTGCATGGATGAACTGCCCTGCTTCTTTACCCTGGTGCCATGTATGATTACTTGTGAGATTACTTAATTACTTGGATTGAAGACTAGCCTAGGAAATTGAAGCTGCTGCCAGGCAACACCACTCACAGTAACTTAAAGGAATTATTTCTGTTTAGAGGATCCTCTTCAAAAAGGGGTGGTGGGAAACTGTTCCTATATCTTCAGATCCTTAGTAGAAATGACTGTGTTTATTTCAAAATGTGTTTTACTTGTTTATGATGTAGTTACCTTAACTATCCTTCAATTCCTCACTCTCTCCCCACCCACCCCACCTTCTTTTTTAAGGGCTTATTGTTGTATTTAGTACCAGCTTCAAGTGACCAAAAGATTAAAATCTCAATGTCAGTGCCAAAAGCCATAGGGGATTTTGCAGTGACAGGATTTTAGTCTCTTACTATGAACACAAATTTTTGAACTGTAGCTTTCATTTTAAGCATCCTCTTGAATTTGTAAACTTTTTTTATGTCTTGGTGTTAAAAATGCCAATCTCGAAGTCTTTTATTTAAACAGGTAGACACTTTATGGTTGAGTTTCCTCTTTACAGAAAACTAGTAATTTTTGGCTGCATAACTTCGTATGGCATACATTATACGAAGTTATACGACTTTCCGCGTCTGAAGTTTTGTTTTTACAGACTGCAGTTCCTAATTCAGGTTGTCAAAGTGGTCTTCTGATTTTAGAATTTATTTTATTTGAAAAATAAGCCTGCCCCCCCAATCTCCTGTCAAAATTTGAACTGTCAGTTTTTCTCATGTTTTAATTATGTTAAAGAAAAACAATAAACGCCTAGATTAGTTCTCTCATTGATAAAGCACATAGATGAGGCGAGAAGCCATAAAGCAACCAAAATATGTTTTGCTTTTACTTCTAAAAAATAATTTGCAGGCAACCATGTTT